AGTTCCATAAATCATCAAATACGCTAAACTGGACCCCTTTTCCAACATTAAGCTGTGCACACATTAAATCAAATCAATCTGCCAAACTAAAATCATCATAATTTGTAGAATATGCATATCTATCTGACAAGTATATGGTCTCTACCTTGTGAGTATCCAATAGTCTTCCTACATAGCGGGTCCCTTCATGACTAATTGAAACTCCGTACTCATGTGTGCGGAGTTTGAATTTATTCCAGAAGAATACTGAAACACTTGGTCATTTGATTTACTGGATGTTCTAGGCCGGAGAAGTCTGAGCTGAAGAGGTCCATGGACTGGTCTATGGGACTGAAATATAGGGTTAGGGGTCTGCACGAACCTTGCGTTGCCCGTGTCGCCGCCAAACCTAACAAAGAAAAGAAGCAAAAGAAAGAGGTAGTATAAACGATGTACCTTCGTTCCTCAGGCATCGTAATTCTGATTTTTCGAGCGTTCGGTGCTGGTACTCATCCGAACATATATAAGCCCACGGTTCGTCCCCTTTTTTTATCCACAGCCCAAACTTCACTCATTTTATGGCTGCATCTGCTCCACCGGCAGGCTCTCAAGAACACTCCAGATCTCCTTCGCCCACACTCTCTGACTCGATACCATCTCTTGTATCTGTTACTGACTCTGACGACAACATCAGCGAACTCGACAACTCATCTACATTGTTTCCTCGTACCGTCCCGGTTCCTCATCCACACCTACGCTCATCTTCTCGGTCACCCTCTCCGATATCGACCACACCTTCCTCATCTTCTACTTCACCCACACCGTCGGATTCCGGTTCTGACTTCTCTCTACCTGCTCTTGACGACATAGTTGACTTTCGTCCGCTCGATCCGGCTCTCCCTCACCTCCTACATTTCACGTCTTTGATCTCGCCTTCAATCTCTGTCTCTATCACGATCCACAATGGCAGGGTCTTCGTCGACACATTCGCAATCGGGCAAGCGTCCTCGTCGCTCTACCGGCGCTGCTCAAACCTCCAAACGCAACAAGGTTGGACCCGCTGCCCCGACACCCGCTTCCGCAGCTTCCTCTTCTTCCTCATCGAGTGCGCAAGGAGGCTCGCCGGCGGTTCACTCAGCCCAATCCACACCGACGCCGGACTCGACCACTACTTCGACGGGTTCTTCGTCGAAGACAACCGCGCAGAAGAAGATGGACAAGTTTAACGAAAAATGGGGGCCGGAGCTGACTACGTTAGAGGATATACTATGTGTGTATCTTTCTTTCTTATTTGTTATCTTAGTTGAAGCTCATAGCTGCTGCAGCGAAGGTTTTGAACGGGTGGAAGACAGACAACGCGAAATCTGTTTACAAGAAGTATAAGATGCCGCCGGGGATTGAGGAGGGAGAGGATGGGGTGGTAAGGTACACATTCTCGTGCACCAAGTGAGGTTCCTTTATGCATGAGCCTTTCAAATTCTGTGCTAATATATTGTAACTTCTCTTCTAGGTGCAAGCATGTCGTCAAGCGGGCTTGCTACGATAATTCAACAAGTAACTTATGGGACCACGTCAATGCCAAACATCCCGAGCTTCCGGCGAACCAAGGAACTGTGACCAATTTTGTTCGTGGCTCGACATACACTCCCGAGAAGTTCCGTCTCTATGAAGTCTTCTGGTGTTGTTCGTCCTCTGGACCGTTCTCAATCGTCACCGATGAATGGCTTTTGAAGATCTTCGGTATGTTCCACCCTGGTTTCAAGGATTGGTCTGAACAGACGATCTCGCGTGATACCCACGAGATCTTTAAGATCGGTCAGAAGAACATCACAAAGGTCATTCGAGTAAGTTTGAGTTTTTTATTCTCTATGATCTATTGATGTGTGTATTGACCCAACCTTCACAGGCTACTCCAGGCCGAAAGCACATAGCATTCGATGGCTGGACCTCCGCAAACGCACTCACATTCATCGGGCTCAATCTCTACATGATCTATAATGGCGAACTCTGCTCCATCCTACTCGATTACGTGCCCATCGAGACTGCACATACCGGCTGCCAACTCGCAGAGCACATCTATGGTGCTATCAAGACATACGATCTCGAGACCTCCGTAAGTCATAATTTCTCTTTTTTGTCAAAGAGTGATGCTAAATCTTTGATGTAGTTGTTTGGAGGCATTGCCGACAACGCCGCAAACAACTTCACCGCTCTCGATTGTTTCGGCAGAATGCTGCCGGAGAAGTCTCTCCTCAGCCGTGCAACTGCTGTGCGTTGCACTTGCCACACGTTCAACTTGGTCATGAAGGTGATTTCTTTTTAATTGTTTAGTGTCAGAAGAGATTCTCATGCAACATGCTTTTCTTTCACCGTAGGCTATCTTCGCCACATTCAACTCGAAGAAGAAGAAGACTGGTGATGGTGAAGGAGAGGATGACGAGGAGGAGGATGGCAATGAAGGTGTCGATGAGTCGGATGCGGAGGAAGACCTCGAAGATGATGAGCAGAGTGAGGAGGAAGATCTCGAGGATGATGAACACGAGCAGGAGAGGGCGATGGATGATGAGTCGGATGATGGAGAGGTTGACGAGGACAGGGAAGAGTATGATGAGATAGAGATGGAGGAGATGCGGGAGCTGATAGAGGACGAGCTCAACCTCGATCGGCGGGTACTAAAGAGCCCACGTCTGGCTATCCAACGCATCAAGCTCATCGCTCGCCGCACACACTTCAGCTCTACCCGTCGACGTGCCCTCAGGCAGTATTGTGTCCAGAAGAAGGTTCCCGAGAAGATTCTACCCCGTGCAGTTGTCACTCGCTGGACGTCACTCACGAACATCATCGCTGTCACGCTCCAGATTTGCCCCGCCGTCGCACTTCTCACCGAGAATCCCAAGCACAAGCTTACGCATCTCGCCCTTGACGAGGAGCAGTGGACGTTTCTCGGTCATCTTTATCCCATCGTTGATGTGAGTACTCTCAATTCTGCTTATCTGGTCATTCTTATATTTGTCTTTTTGTTAGCAATTCCGTCGGGCCATAGTCCACCTCGAGGCTCGTAACCGACCGTTCCTCTATGAAGTCATTCCTGGCATGGACAACCTCATCACGTTCCTAGAGGACAAGGCCAGTGACGAGAACCTTCCCATTGCAATCCGCGCTGCTGCCTTCAACGGTCTAAAGATCATGAAAAAGTACTATGCCCTCACTGATGACTCAATTCTTCCACGCTGTGGCATCAGTAAGTCTTTATATCTCATTCGTTCCTTTGCCTATGCTTATGTTCTTTTGCATTATAGTATGCCACCCTGGCCTCAAGATGGTCTATTTCACGAGAGCAGGATGGAGCATCGACTGGATAGCTGCAGCTCGCAAGGTCATCACCGACCTCTGGCTTGAACATTACAAGCCTGATGTCGATACTAATCCCGCAGCAGCTCCAGTAAGATATTTCTCATTCTGTCCGATAGCATCACTATTAACACTTATTGTTGTAGGCTCCTGGTACTTGTGCAACATCTGTCTTCTCTCCGAACATGGCAGGCGTCCCTGTAGCTCTCATTATAATGAGCCACGGTACTACCGTGAAATCACATTATAATGAGTAGCGGCAGTACCGTGGGCCTCCTCATTATAATGAGCAGCTCACCAGCGACCTTTTGGCCTGCTTGAGCACCGGCCAAATTGGGATTTCAGTTTATTGTTTTCATAAATCCTAGATTGGGGTTCTAGGGGCGGGTTGGGGACGGGGTAGGGGTTCCTAGGACCGGGATGGGATGCTGGGATGCTGGATAGGGGGTAGGGAAACATGTAGGGGGTAGTAAAAAATAGGTAGCAGGGTGGTAGGGTGCTGAATACATGGATTAGGCGTGTTTTATGGTAGTTTTGGCTACTAGGGACATTACTTGGTGTACCGGGACAGCAGTAGGTGCAATAAAAATCGGGGAAAATCAGGAAATAATAGGATAGGTGCTAGGGTAGGCCTGGCAGGTGCTGGTTGGGGGGTTGTCAGGGGGCGAGGGGGTGTTTTTGGGGTGTTTTTGTAACTTTGCGAGTTTTGAGATTTAGAACGAATGAATCGCATTGCCGGGTGTCGTTTCGATGGAATCAGCGTATAAAATGTAAATCGGCGATGTGATTTCGGCGAGATGAAGGAGGCTGATTCTGGCAGTTCTGTCTATTTTACAAACATTTATAAATATACAAGATGATATAAATCAATTTGTGAAGGAATCGGTCCATTTGTTCCAAAGTTATAGCGTAAACGGTCAGGAAGATATTGCCACATCGAGGCTAGAGGGGGTCGATAGG